TCACTCTAGTCAGCAAAACACATGCAAAAATCTCCTGCTGTCTTACAGTGGTGTTTCCTTCTGAGAGCTCACTGAACATGAGAGAGAAATGGACTCTGTGTTCATTAGGTCTCTCAAAATGCCTCCAAGTGCCATCACGCTCTTCTTCATACCTATCCTCCTCTTCCTCTCTCCCCACTTGCTTACTCTCCTCATCCCACTCCACTTTCCCCTCGCACTCGTCTTCCTTCTCTCACCTCTCTTTCTTTTACTCATGCATCCCCACACCTCCTCCTCCTCCTCCTGCAGCTCCTCCTCCTCTAAGTCGTGGCCCCGGTGGAGGCTGAGGGGAGGATCATGACACGTGACGGCTGCTTGACGGCAGCAGAAAAGCCAGACAGCATGGTGCTTTCATCTCCCATTTAACAGAACAGAGAGGAGCCGTTAACAGTTCTCAGCAGGGAAATTAGCAGAGTGTGTTGGGCCCGTGTACACAAAGTACTCGGGTATTAACTGTTACATTATTGAGAGCAGGAGCCTTCCACGCCTGACAGTTTAGATCTCACGCTGAGAGACTGGAACTGGTTTCTATCACTACGTTTAGTGACAAGTGGTTTAGTCATAATGGCTTTTCTTTTAGAAACAAAAATGTCCTGTGAACAAAAGCAGGATCACTCTGATCCAAGGACACTGTGTCTTTTGGGAAGTGAGTTCAGGTGAGACACCGAGCCATTTTGTCAGCAGTGAAACTTACGTACCCTTTTCCCACCAAAATTAGCAGGTATCAGCAGGTTCTTTAAACGCAGTTAAACTTTCCACTGCCAGTCGAGTTTGTCTTTCTGTTCGGACTGAGGTCACACACAACTGCAAGGAGTGATGTCATCACACGCACTTAAAGAGCACACACAGAGTGTGCTGCTAGCCGCCGTGCAGACTGGTCAAACAGATCAGTCACGTCTCATCCTCAGGTTGGAGTTCCTGTCAGTGTCAAAGCCTCGTTCAGTGACTGCCTTATTTCAGGGCTGCAGCTTCACCCTCAGAGGAAGGCGTAGCTGTGGTGTTTCTGGGTTAAGCAGCACCGTGCTGGACAGGTGACAGGCGTCAAGACTGACAGATGTTACAGCAGAAAAAGGAGGCCAAAATTAGCAAGTTCACCTGAGTGTTGTGTTCACATCACTGATGACCGGAGCTGATAAATACCTGCGTCTACTGCAGAGTCATGTGACCCGGGGCTCAAGTTCTCAGTAGAGCACAGTTTAGCTGCACCAAGGCATGCATTTTGACAGAAGGCAACTGCGCTGACCTTTGACCCCTCCTACCTGCATTGTAGAAGGTTTCAGCCGGGGCCAGCCCATAATGGTCTCCTTCCTCAGCCAAAGCTGTGTCTTGTGCTCTACTAATTGGCTCAATATATTCATGGTACTGCAGGTGACCACAGACAAAGCAGCATTTTGAAATGTATTGTTGTGTTCAGCTCTCAGCGCTGTCTTAGCAGGGGGAGCTTTCCAGGAGTGGTTGAACCACCGGGAGCTGTTAACCAGCCGTACGAAATGCAAGGCACCGAGGCGATATAGTTAAACACAGGGAGAGAGAACGTTTTCACTGCTATTCTGTCAATGGAATATTTTTTAAAATATGAAATGCAAAGAAATGCAAAGAAGTAAAACACACTTATTCCACATATGACAAACAAATGGAATATTTCACACCGGAAGCATGTCACAAAACGTCAAGTCGGATCAGCAGTTCAGCGGCTTGTGTTTCAGGTAGCGGCCCCTCTGCTGAACTCACCTGGTCTGTTTCAGGTGAGCAAGATGATCATTTTCTGCAACAGGCTTAGACGGAGAGGCAGCACCGTGTTTTCTGGTCAGAAGGCACATGATTAATTCATCATGTATTCATTGGTTAAACTGCTGGAGTGCTGTAATTAGTAACTAACCTACTATGTCAGATGGAATGAATCATTAAAACCTTGTATGTGATAATTTTCCCAAAGGTGAATCAAAGGATCCGGTCGTGTGGTGAGTCAGTACCAGTGGCAGACCGGCCATCTGGAGCGTTGGGAGTTTTCCTACTGGGTTTCTTTAGAACTGGGCCAACGCAAAAGAAAAGGAATCTAAATAGTCATGGTTCTGATGCCTGGCTCGGGGGAGTCAGCTGGTGGCCCAGTTCATTCTGGGGCGGGGGGTGGAGGGTGAGGGGTGGGGGTGGGTGGTTGGGCTCTCATTATGGGTCACAATTCATTTGCTTTTGCCACATTTATGAGTTTATTTAATGCACGTTTGTGATTAGGTGGTCACATTTTTTTTACTGGAGTTTATGGTGCAGTGGCTAAAGCTGTTAAAACAATATTTGTATTTATTTTTATGGGGACAGATACATAAGCATATAAAATTCACTGAACAGACTCTTGGCTGTTAAGACAGCATTTATATTTAATGTCATTTGTAGCGTCTGATCACAGATGGACTAAATCTCTAACCTTATATAATGCTATAGTGGTTACGGCTTTTGACTCGAA